AGTAATAATATATATATAAGTCTAAGATAGTAGTAGTATATAAGAGTACTTTCTAGTTAATATAAAGAGTATATAGAGATATATATTTAGATCGTCTAGTACAAACTCCTAGAATATAAGTAAACAAAATATATAAATATATATACTAGAACTAGTACTAGGGTACAAAAAGTCTATAATAGTATAGTAATAGTATAGTAACAGTATAGTAACAGTATAGTAACAGTATAGTAACGATCCGGTATTATAACGGTATTGTAACGGTATAGTAATAGTATCTAGTATTTACTATTGTCGAGATAGTAAATAGTAGAGAACTATAATACAGAGTCGGTAAGTATAGAGTAAATAATAGTTTTTAGATAGCTCGATAGAAGTAGATACAAAGGAAGAAGAAAAAACATAACCTGCACTCGTAATTTAAACTATGCACTCGTTCCGTCTTGGGATGCGTTTTGAATGCTTAGTCAGGAGTGCGTAGAACCTCAGAACGAGTGCGAGTCAGCGCCGCACGCGGCGCGTCTGGGCATCCACTTACTGCTTCTAGACTAGTTCGACGCGTTCACTTCTAGGTACATATGTACTTCCAGGTTCCAATAGAACCTCTTCACCACCACTTCTTCGTCTTCTTCTTCTCCATACCACCCTTCTTCCATCATCTGCCTCGTCGACAACGGCATACCGACCAGCTTCTTCGCCCACCTCACGCTGATGAAGTCCTTGTCGTGGCAATTCTTGCCTCAGGTGAAGATGGACGGAATCTGGAATCGTGGCAGCTGAAAGCGCGAGAAACCACGACCTATATCCATTGGTCAAGACACGTAGGACAATACTCACGACAGCAGGCCATATGTCGAAACCCATGTTACGACTCGCGTGTTGTTGCTCAGCTTGATTGTCACGCGCTGGTCGGAAAGGAAACCTGCAGCTGGTTGTCACCATATGCAAGGGCGACTTACGCGATGCAGTCGATCCGCCGAGCGCAAACTGGAAGCTTTCTTCCCTCGGCTCATCTCTCACTGACAATAGCAGAGTGTTTGGTACAGTCATGGCTCCGTTTGTTCTCTCTCGAGCTGTGCCGCATGATATGAAAGAAATCGTTGAACTACAATACGACTCCTTCGAGGATGATCTGGTTCACGAGCTGTTTATGGGCTGTAACTCCCGGCATGTTTTACCAAAACTGGTGGCGAGATACACTGAAGCAATGTTGCAAGATCCTTCAGACATATGGATCATGATCAAGGACGCAGCGACTGGTCGAACTGTGGCCGCTAGCAATTGGAAACTGTACCTGGGCTCGACTCATATGCAGCGACGTGGCGTCGACGAGATCATGCCCTGGTTGAAAGGCGATATTGCACTGGCAGCAAAGTCTCTGCTGCAGCCGATGAACGAGATCAGACTGCTCAACAATCAGGATCCATTCCTGCGTGAGTGAATAGTCTCTCTTGACAGGAGGCCAGGCTGACATCGTGAAATATGGAGATCTACATATATGTTTCACTTCTCCCGAGTACAGACGTGCTGGAGCTGGTAGCAAGATGATGCGTTGGGGGTGCGAGTTGGCTGATTTGTTGTTCCTACCCGCCTGGGTTGAAGCCAGCCCGGAAGGCAACTTCTTGTACAAGAAATTCGGCTTTTGCGATTTCAAGCAGATCGAACACAAAGGTACCTAGTATGATATATAGTTTGTTATTTGATTCGACGCTGACATGAAAACAGGAAAAGTCACCGGCACTTGTATGCGCAGAGAGGCACGTACCACGCGCGTGGCTCTGACGGCTTCGAGTGCGTTAGGTGGTATCGACTTCGGCGTGTTGTGACTGCAAACCACCTGGAATTGCTGTCATGCACAAATAGCATTGTACCCACCATATGTTTCTAATCCTGTCTAACATTCACCACAGGTCCGTTGTACTTCTTTCTGCCTCGGAACAAGTAATCTGTGGCGGCGATCATGACCACGCCAGAAAATATGACTACTGACCAGTTCATGGTCGTTACCGAAACAGGAGTGACCACTGGGAAGAAGCTAATCACAGCCCCGAAAACAGCATACAGAACAGAGACGACATTCAGCGGTATGCCGAGCTTTCCCAAGGACCATCTGGCTGGCGGAAGTTGCTGTCCCCGCATGCGCTTACTCAATACACAGCCTATGCTGACTGCGTAAGAGAAGTTCGTGGCACTCGTGAGCAAACCAGCGATACTGTTGAACGCCGAAGTGCTTCCGATGTTGATCAGCGCCAATACAACCAGGATTGAAAGAGAAAAGAGTATGGCATTCAGCGGTATCGGAGTTCCAATTGTCACGACTTGGCGGAACCAGCCAGAGAACGGTAGACCTCCGTCGCGGCTCAGCGCCCATGCTTGTCGCGAGGCTGCCGCCATGGAGTTCAGTGCTGTGCATATGGTGAGTATGAGAGGTATGCAGGCCATTGCAGTAGCTCCGCCTTTGCTTCCTGTAGCATGAAAAAACACGTCGACGAACGGAAACACTGATGTGGAACTGACGACTGCTTCCAGATTCGTGATGCAGAAGCAGTACGTGATGATCATCACAAAGCCCATCATGCCGTTGAGTATGATGGTCGCTAACATCATACGGGGCACCGCAAGAGACGCGTTCTTCACTTCCTCCGCCAAATGTGCAGGAGCGTCACTCCCCGCAAATGATCCACCAGCAGTGAGTTGTCCGACAACGCATGCAGTCCCAATCGAGGGCCATCCTCCGAAATTCGAGAATTCTGTAAAGACAGCTCTTGGGGACGCCTTGGGAGCCATAACCCACAGTGGAACGATGATGCAAAAGAAGCCAAAGATGTGAATGCAAAGAATGATGCCCTCTAACAGAGGAAGTCGTTTTGCCCCAAAAGTGTTGAAGATGGTGCCGATGATCCCAATGCCAACCATGAGGAGGGTGATTTGCCAGCGCGAATAGACAAAGTCTGGATTGTTTAGAGCCACGAGCTCGAAGATGAGTGTGCTGCTCGTGTAAGCTCCTCCTGCAATGACAGCCTGCCAACCCAATGCGCTCAGCCAGCCCACGCAGTAGCTCAAGAATTTCTGCTGGGAACTCGGTGCGAATTCAGAAACCCAGTCTGACTGCGAGTCAGCATGTTCTAGGTCGCGCGCGGTCAACTACTCACGATACTGTCCACCGCTGGTAGGCGACATTGAAGCCTTGGTCAGGTCAGCTAGGGCACAATTCGTAGAACAAAAATTGCTGACCATTTCTGCAAGACTGCATACGAGACAAATGGTGAATATCCAGGAAGCCAGATACACCCAAACTGTCCCGGCAAGGCCACCATTGATGAGCGAGAATGTGGACGCCTGAATGACGGATATCCATGTCGCCATGGTCACTGCTGCCATACCGAGGATCGAGAAGGTTTTGAAGTTTCTCCTCAACTCTTGCTCCTTGCCGAGTCTATGCATGTCGACTACATCTTGCTGTACACCAGTCTTGGTGATGCTCTGCTGGAAATCGTCGATGGCAAAGTTCCGAACCTGATCGCTCTTGCTAAAATCCATCACGTCGGTCATGATTTGGCGATTCGCGTGAATCTGTGCTCCTGGCTGAGCTTAATATCAAGCATGAACAGCGGCGATTACACAACGTGGTGTACAGATCATTAACGCTGACGCCACATCAATGTGGGAGACTGTCGTGTAACCCAACCCGCTTCTCCGGCAACGCCAGAATTCCACCGATACACCTTGCTTCGTAACCGACGAAGCGAACCATGTGACGGTCTCGGCGAGTTCGTGTGTAGTACTTCTGGTCATCCAATTCACGGTGAACATCCCATCGCTGAACTCAGGGGCGAAGCGCTAAGTCCCTAGGCACATCCGCAAGTTGTCATGTGGAAAGTGAGTGCTGTGTTCGTTAACGAGACAGATAAGCCAGTGTGGCCACTTCTGCATCCCGTTCATATCTTGTCCGCGACGAAGTGGGGGTGAGCAACAGCAACTGGAATGCTTTTGATTAACATCACAGGCATGTGCTCGCATACTGCATCATAGAAGTACGCTCCGATAGACGATCATTTCCGAAACTCATGGCCGACAGCGCAGTGCCAACTTGGGAATTCAGCACAGCTATCACGCAGGACAGTCATGGAGCGTATCTTATGGTTGTAAGCATACTTGGCCTCGTTGCCAGTGTACTTGTGCTGGGCAACCGCTTGATCATCAGGTGGCCTTGGAGTGAGCTGCTAGGCAATGATGACTGGGTTTGTATAGCTGCAACGGTATGGTAGATGCGTCTGCAGTGTTTCATGTCCACACTGACCCTGTGGAGGTAACAGCAGTCGCGCAGAGCGCAATCCTCCTCGGTGCTGTCAGGGAAGGGCTCGGCGAGAGATCAGACTTGATCGGGGGAAAGGTTGTCGTGGTTCAAAAGGTATGTCCACCCAGCCCACAATGATCTGAGAAGTATGCTGATCTCCCTTCCAGCTCATATACACCAGCAGCATTCTGTTCGTCCTAGCACTCTGCTTGGGCAAGCTGGCAGTTGCCTGCCTGTTGAGTCGACTGTCGCCACGACGCGCTGCTACTGCTATCACTTGCGCTATCTTGCTATATGGACTTGCTGGGATTCTCACAATTGCACTCTGCCAAGATATCTCACAGCCCTGGATGGTCACAGCCGCGTCATCTAGGTCAACGTTAGCAAGATGGGCAGCCGTGGAGGCGATGGGCATGGCACTAGACACCGTCTTGATCGCATACTCAGCCTCTCTGGTTGGTGATCTGAACATCAGAAGAAGCACCAGGTTCTCGGTCTTCCTCGGGTTTGCGTTGCGATTCCCCGTAATCATCTTTGCGGCACTCCGTCTGGCAGCTATGGCGACCATCGACTACCAGGACATCACCTTCTCGTGTGTCAACACCGAGGTCTATGGCCAAGTGGAGATGCACTACAACCTCGTCGCTGCCACGATACCGTGCCTTCGCATCTTTCTCAAAGGCTGGAATACCAGCTTCAACAGCACGTCATTGAAGGGGATCGATCCTGAAGCGTATACAGTACATTCTTCACTCTCTCCTGCTCGAACACCCCGACCCTCCAAGCACTCCCGACCATCGCAGAGCAACAGACTGTCGTGGCGGAGCAGGCGGGCTGACATGGATGAGATCTTCGATGGCATCACGCACAAGACGGAGTCTACCATCTCCTCTGACCGACACGCAATTCATCGTCAGACCTGCGATGGGTCGAAGCATCCAATCACTGTACATCACTCTATTGATATCGAGATAAAGTGATGATCTTACGCTTAGGGCCAGCATATAGATATAAATATACCGGGACTTGCCAACTTCCGACTAGGGTTGACCAGAATAGGTATCTACACGATGCTACGGTCTACCTGCATATGACCTTGAATCCCCACGCAACTCTTCGCGAACTTATTGTTTGGGTTTGCACTCTTTGATAGTTCATGGTCTTCGCCCGGGTCTGGACTTTTCCTTCTGCCTTGAGTTGGTACATCATCTTGTTTTTCTTTTTTCCATGCAAAGCTTTCAGGAGTCAGGACGACCTTCTGCCAAACAGTGTTCGTTGTCATTATCATCAGCATCAGCATCAGCATCATCATCATCATCATCAGCATCATCATCATTCATCTCAGAGAATAGAACACGGTCACACGAACGACAGAACACGAGGAAGTGATGCAATGTCGCCGTCCAGACGCGTTGTATGGGATAATCGACGAGGATTATGATGACACATGCATGCCCAGCAGCCCACCTAGGATCGGAAATGTGGGAGAACGAGGGGAATGCATACCATGTTTACATGCAACTCTCTTTCGGCCGCCAATTCCTTTTTTTTATCGTTTTTTTTTCTTTTTGCCTATCAAACATACCAACAACAATACGTCGCGGCTCTGCTTCCTATTGGGTCATCTCTTTCTCTCACAGACACACACACATACCTATACCTATATCTGGAAACCCGAGCTGACACTGTACGACGTCTCTTGGTCCTCGGGTTTTGTTTTCAAAGAGTACGGTAGTCTTCGTGGAGAAATTCCTTGGCGGCGTCGTATAGAATCGAAATACATGTAGCCCTACATGTATATTTAAACCAAAATCAAAAAGTTAAGATAATGACTATGATTGATTGATTGATTGATGATTGATGACCACCATGATGATGAAGATTGCAGGTTTCGTTTCCCCCCTTCCCCCCCTATCCCTCCCCCCCCAAAAATACTACTGTACGTAGGTAGGTAGGTAGTATCGTACATACACGTCTACTAACTACCTGACCGTAGCCAGCACTCTCATCACCCCATGGGCCCATGATGTATGTCTCTATCTGGGCGGGAAGGGGAGGGGGCGTGGTCAGTCAGCCTGAATTGCGAGCCCAAATTTGCTGGTAAATTCCGTATCTGTTACTTTCCATAGGTACGGTTGATTGGTTGGTTGGTTGGTTTGTAATCTGACAATACGAAGGAGAAAAAGAAGGAGAAGGAGGAAGAGGAAGAGGAAGAGGAAGAGGGCCTAGCCTGGTCTCTGCCTCCTGGGCGTTCATCATGGTTTAAAAGGTATAAGATACGTTAATTCGGACATGGTATGGATGGATGGAGGGAGTGAGATAAATAGATAGATAGGGACACACTCAGCCTCGTTTCTTCCCCCTTCTCATCATTATTATCATCCTTCCCTCTCACATCCATAAGGAATATTCGTTTTTGTCGCCAAACCCTTGTCTTGAGGCAGAAGAAGAAGACCAAAACCTACCACACGGAATCCATCTGATCCATCCATCCATCTATCCACGATGCAGCAACCCATTGCTCTCGCTGCTGCCTTCTTCGCAGTCGGCGGTATGGCTCAGTGGTCTTATACAGACTGTTCGCAGCTTCTGGGTGGCTCTGGCTATGTAAGTCCATCTATCCTTTCCATCCATACCCGGGCATCATCAACTACCCATTCATCATCACTTACCCACTCCCTTCTATCATCACTTACCCATTCATCACTTACCCATTCATCACTTACCCACTCCCCTCTATCATCATCATCATCAACCCACTTCCCCATAATCACTTCCCCATAACCATCTCGCTCATCACAAAAACAAAACAGGTCTGCAGCCCCGACTACTCCACAGTCTCCTACTGCCAACCCGGCCTAGAACCCGAGGTCGTCGACTCCCAATACTGCGACTACGGCGACTGTTGGGCAGATCAATTCAATGGCTTCTGCACATATGAAATCTCGAAGAAGAATCAGGCTCGTGGTCCGACGGATTGTACGCAGGTGAATCCGGAGGGAGGTTATGTTTGTAGTGAGGATTATACGACTTTGGTGAGTTTTTTTATTTTTTTTTTTTTTTATTTTCTTTTGCTGACGGCTTTTGTGTTTTTGTAGTACCAATGCTCTGGTAGCGTAAAGGCGGTTGCGGATATTTGTGATGACCCTACTTGCTTTGCTTCGACTACTGGTGATCAGGGAATGTGTATTCGTTAAGAGAGGGAGATGGAGAAGGAGATGGAGAGGGAAATGGAGAGAGAGGGAGATGGAGAGGGAGAGAGAGAAAGGGAGAATGTGTCGATGGCTGCTGAGTCAGGGGGGGTTTTTCTCTTCTTCCAAACTTGAACTTCACAACAAAGGGGGTTTGTTGGTGAATGCGGTCTGCCACGATTCACGAAGAAAGAGAGAATCCCAATGCGTAATACCACTTTTCTCTTCGTGATATAATCAAAAAAACATTCTCAAAAATTCTCTATTGTGACATTGTTCCGGTGAAAGTCGGCAGATTCGGCCGGGGGGAAAATTGGGTTTATTCTTGGATCGAAAGCAAGGGGAGAGAGACAAGGAAACAAGGACACCGTGGCTGCTGAGATTGGGATTCTCCGTTGCGAGACAGCATTTCTTCTTTTTTTCGAAGACCGAACTTTAGCTCTTACTAGAGATACAACTTATACCGTGCGTGTGTAGTGAACAGTATTACTTGTACTCCATGGATTGACTTGATTCTCTTTCTTTTTTCATTTGACCATGTTTGCAGGATCATCGGGCTCAGACTCGAAATATCAGCGGCTTCGGTGAGTTTTCCTCCTCCTCTTTTCCTTCTTCTTGCAAGATACTATTCTGGCATGAATAAATATCACCACATTCGCGGACTTATGGATATGATGATGATGATGATATATGACACGTAAACCAAAAAAGAGAAAAAAGAAACAACCTTGCTGATATCACGAAAAAAAGTGATGAATCCGCAGCAGATTTCGAACTCACTCCTCTCGAACATGAACAACAACAACAACCGGGGAGCCTGAACAACAACAACAATAGTCCTGTCATCACCAGTCTCGAATTATCCTCCGATGAAGAAAGCAGCGACCTACACAGAAGACAACTCCAACAACAACAACAACAACATCTTCTCGAAAATGGTGGTGGTGACGCCAAATTCCGACTTTCCAAACATGCCGCCTTGGAAAATCAAGAATATGGCAGCGCCGCTGTCATGGAGGGTGTCGTGGCCGTCTGGGGCAAATGGGGCAAATATTGCTTGATTGGCGGAATGGCGATGATGATTGTTGCATAGTAAGTGAATCATCATTATCATAAGATACAAAAAAAGGAAAAAAGGAAAAAAAAAAAAAGAAAAGAAAAGAAAAGAAAAGAAAAGAAAAGAAAAGAAAAGGAAAGAAAAGAAAAGGAAAAGAAAAGGAAAGGAAAAGGAAAAAGAAATGGCACAACTGAGGAGAGGCGATGCGAGGGCTCTCTGGCTGGCCTCTTTTCTTTTTACAAAAGAAAAAACTAATATTTTTACCCGACAGTGAATTAGACAATTCCACAACATCCACCTACGAAACATACGCCATGTCCGAATTCCGCACCCTATCCATGGGCGGCACCCTCGACGTAATCGGAGCTCTCGTATCCGCCAGCGTCAAAGTGCCCATTGCGAAAATCTCCGACGTAATCGGACGAGGAGAAACATATTGTCTCATGACATTACTTCTCATGATATCCTACGTACTCCACGCTCTCGCCCAAGGCTTCCCCAGTTTCGTGGTCGGATCACTATTTTTCCTCGTGGGCCAAGCGGGAATTGCTCTGTTGGATTTTATTGTGGTTTCGGATGTGACATCGATGCGATCGCGAGCGTTGGTGGGGAATTTGTTGTATTCGCCCTATCTCATCATCACCTGGCTTTCGGGGATTATAGTGGATCGCGTGAAGGATGGGATTGGATGGAGATGGGGATATGGCATGTTTGTGTTCATCACGCCCATGGGGTATACGTTGTTGATCATGACATTGCTCTATTTGCAGCGCAAAGCGAAAGCGGCGGGATATGCGACTTCGAAGAGGACGACGTTGAAGGAATTTTGCTCGCGCATCGATCTGGGAGGCTCGTTGTTGTTGACTTCGGGTTTGGCTTGCATTCTGCTGCCCATTACGCTGGCCGCCCAGAGTCACGATCACTGGAAATCCGCTTGGGTCAGCATCCTGATTCTTCTGGGAATCGTCCTGCTGGTATGCTTGGTCATTTACGAAGCCCTGTTCGCTCGCCATCCGGTCATGCCCGTCTCGTATTTCCACATGCGAGCTATCATGGTGGCATTCTTCGTCATGTCCATTGATGCTTGCGGCTATCGAATCACGCATACATATCTCTTCGCGTGGTCCATTGCAACGCACAACTACTCGGCACGCACTGCAATGTACTTGACGTACATCAGTGGACTGACGCAGCTCCTCACGGGCATCGTGGTCGGCCTTGTGATTTACAGACTGAGATTTTACAAGTGGGTGAGCGTGGGTGGCTCGTTTATTCGAGCGTTTGGATACGCCATGATGATCCGAGTGCGTACCAACAGCAGCACCACTTTCGAACTTTTCGCCGTACAAATGATTCAAGGTCTGGGGAGTGGCTTTCTCGAAACGAGTATGTTTGTGGCCGCACAGATCATGGTGCCTCACGCCGAACTGGCCCAAGTCACAGCTCTCATCGCCACGGCTTCGCATATAGGCGGAGGTGTAGGCTCTGCTATCGCAGGTGGCATTTATACAACATCCATGAAAGGCCGACTGAGAGCTCGATTGGGTCCGGATGCCACAGAGTCCCAAATTGATGGACTCTACGACTCCATCACAGGGGTTTTGCCAGAATGGGGAACTGAGGGCAGAACTGCAGTTGCTGCTGCGGTACGTGTGCCTCGATCGTGGAGAGAAGTCTTGTTGCACTCTTGAAGCTGACTTTCGGTGTAGTACTCGGATGTCATAGGCTATATGACTGTGGTCTCGCTGTATGTGGCTTTGCCAGCCATAATACTGGCTTTGATCATGCCTAATAATAAATTACGGTAAGCGGCTCCAGGTTCGGCGCTGCCATCTTCTCCGCTAATTTGTCCCCTAGAGATGGAAAAAATCTACGAGAAGCTGCAGATGACTCCAGGAATATGAGTGAGCCAGATTCGAGCCACGATCGGGCAATGTGACTTTGCTTCTGGGCTCTTTTGAGAGACCATCATCGTTCCTGGAGAACCAGATCCATCAAGAATAAATACGCAGTACCCGGTAGAGCATCCGAGGCATTGACCTTGGCACAGAGTTCATTTGAATATGCCTGTCCAGTGTCCAGTGTCGTATTCCTCGTGAATATCAGACCATCGAAGATGTCCCCGTTTCGGTTTCCCGCTCCGCATTCGTGTCCCCTCATCCATGAGTGAACTCCACGAGGCCACCCCGACCCAATAGACCAGTTTGCCAGGGGACCTTGAGCATCTCGTATCGAATCAAAGCCAATATGTTCGATCCTCGTAAAGTAGTTCTGCTGACAGCTTAACAGAGAGTTGGAATAGAATACTCTAATAGATGACTGCGAGTTTCCAGCCAGCTTTCATCACTCTGACTGCCACGAAACAGCACAAGCCACAGATATAGCAACCACCGGTAAAGAGCGCAACTGCCCAATACGAGCCTCCAGTCGCTGAAATCAAAGCTCCAGCGATGGGCAGACCTGTGAGGCATCCGAGTGAGACGATGGTGTACGTCGTGGCGATGTAGCGTCCGTAGTCCTTAGTCGGACACAGCATACCCACGCAGACCGGCGTCAAGCTGATATTCGAGCCACTGGCAAAGCCCATCAAAGCAGCGTAAACGATGGTGAGAGCGAGAATGGTCTGAGGCGAGGAGCTACTTTCGCTTGTTGCGTATACTGCAGCAGGAAGCCACAGCGCAAGCGACGAGGCGGCACAAAGGAAAACTGCGACGATTTGTGTGTTGAAACGACCCAACTTATCCGCGACGTATCCTGGTACCCATCGACCGAAAAAGGAACCGGCGTTGAAGATGGCGAGGAGTTGGTATGCGAACGTGGGCGAGATGGCTCCATCAGTGTCTAACGCGTAGGAAGTGAGGTAGGCCACTGGGATGAAAAGGCCCCATTCGAGGAAGTATGCGCCTGCTGTGACCAGTGCAAAGGGCAGATCTTTGAACACGCTCACGTCTGGCCAGGCGCTTCCTCCTGGCCGCGGTGGAAGGCGTGCGCGAAGCAGCAGGATGGCAACAAGCAACAGCAAAATGAAGATGAATCCTTGGATCCTCGTGGCCCAAGCCCAGCCAACCTTGGGGAACAAATCTTGTAACATCAACGGAAAGCTGGGAGGTCGAGACATTGTCAGCAGCCGGACGTCTGCACTCCCAGTGGTCTGGTCTGGTTTGCAACTTACATCACTCCACCAAGTGCTCCGCCACATGTTGCAATTCCAGTCGCATTGGCTCTACGACGCAAAAACCAATGTCCCACTGATGATACAGCCGGCGTAAAGATCATGGCTGTGCCGATTCCTCCAAGCACGCCAAAGACCAGCATGAAATGCCCTGGTAGTAACACATCGAAGGTCAGCACAATCCTCTCCGTTGATGCGGAGCCGTTCGCAAAGCTCTTTCTGTAAGCTCTTCGCCGTAGTAGGCTGGAGCTTATTGAGTGAGACATTCAGCATAGGGAATGCCTTCCAACAGGGGGTACTGCACTGACAATACTGCGAGCATACTCCCAAGAGCATAATGCTCAGGAGCAAGCAAATCGATCCTATAACGACCAACCAGAATGGACCGTGTTTGTCGAAGAACGGCCCTACTTGGACGCCAGCTCCGAATGACAGAAAGATGTACACGGAGAAGATCCAACCTATTGTCGATTCGGAGTAGCTAGACAGCTGATTCATGGCTAGATATGCCTGATATGTTCCCACGGTGTTCATGTATCCAAAACAAGCCATCATACCACTGAACGCTCCCACAACCACGAGCCAGGCTCGAAGGCCACCCTCGGGATATGTGTTGCCCTCGTCGTCCGTAGAGATATCGGATGTATCAACACTCTCCTTGCCCGCTGCTCGTTCATCGTCTGAAGTGTGCGCTTCGGCATGATCGCTCTTCTCGGAGAAAGATTTGTGTTCATCTGGCAATTTATCTTCTTGTGAATTTGTTTTGGGAGATTCTGCATATGTCGTCAACATTGGTCGAAGCAAGCTCCAGGTAAGCAGACTTCTCGTTGTGCAGCTGTTGCGAAATAGGTAAATGTCTTCCGCAAGACCGTGGCAATGTTAACAAAGATGCAGTCGAGCGGATCGCAAGATCATCTACAATGGCTTCCACGTCCATGCCATTCACTGTTTTCCCACCGCTCGCAAAACGAATATGTAAGATCATCATAACATTGTATGTCATGAGGATTTTCTCTGGTCATTTTGGACTAGTGGCCTGCAGCCATGGCGTGGTCTAGTGCATTGCACGAAATCGAGACCTGATGTTGCGAGTGGTGCGAGTGAAATGCATTGCTCGTGCCTGATGGGTGAGGTCATCCACCGCCCTTAGTTGAACCCTCGTCGAATTACAGTTTGAAAAGTACCCTCGATATCCCAAACAAGAATGTACACATCTTGCCACTAATGCAAATCGCATAAGTGAGCGCCACGAGCCACGCTTCTCCGACGGCTCCTGTATGGAGAAAAGGTTAACACGAGGCATGGTTGACCTTGACACCCGCAGTGATGCCTCGCCCACCACATCGTAGGAGAGGCGAAGGCACTTTGCTGGACTCAATCCGTGATACTGTACTCACGGCCGTTTCAGCGACTACCTAGAGCAACATGGGATCAATAGCAAACGACTCGAAAGCTCCCGTGGTGTGTGTCTTGTGAGTTGAGGAAGCCCGATTGAGAAAGTCCAGCTACTGACACTACCGGTTTCCAGCTGTGGCACATCCCCAGGTAACTCTCCAGAGTACGTACAGTCTGCTCGCGACCTCGCCCAAGGATTCCATAAGAATGGGATCAAGCTCGTTTATGGTGGCGGCACATCGGGTCTGATGGGAGCTATGGCCTCGGAATTAGTACGCTTATCTGGCCCCGAAGCCGTCCACGGTATCATCCCGAATGCGCTCCAGGCGTTCGAGCGGAAAGATGAGATAGAAGACAAGGGAGAGAAGGAGCAGAAAAAGGTGGACGAGGCCAAGTTTGGCAAGACAACCGTGGTGCCAGATATGCACACTCGCAAAAAGACAATGACAGACGAGGTCCTTGCGGGTGGTCCAGGCAGTGGTTTTGTAGCACTCAGCGGAGGATATGGAACACTAGAAGAACTCATGGAGGTCAGTATAGTGCAACGATGGTCGTGCGGAGAAAAGTACTGACTACGATGGCCTAGATCGTTACTTGGAATCAACTCGGCATTCACGACAAGCCTGTGGTGCTGTTCAACGTTGCAGGGTACTGGGACGGGTTGCTACAGTGGGTGATGAAGGCCGTAGGCACTGGGTTCATCGCAGAGGGCAACTCGAACATCATGGCGGAGGCGAGTACAGCTCGCGAGGTGCTGCAGCGGTTGTCCGATTATGAAGCTGCTGAAGGGCGTTTACAACTAGATTGGCAGAACCAGTAGATGGTTGGCATTTCATCCATTTTGGGTTGCGGTGAGCTCCGAGGTCTTGTAGGGCATGTCCGAGTTGTTGTTTCGCTTTCGAGAGACGTGCAATCGACTGATGGAAAATTGTGTGGAAGGGGGGCTTGCCCAAGCACGTGATCTGCTGGCCGAGACTTCTTCCGCAGCACAAAAGTGAGAAACACCGTTCACGTGGATTCACAATTGCGACAGCCTTCCACCACAGATGGGCAGTATCATGGACCCTTGGTGGGTAAGGTATTTACTAAGATTGCCTTTGAACATTGAGAGGTCTCATGTGGATTTCGCTTTCGTAACACAGTGATTCTGGTGGCTACATGTATTTTATTGGTGCGCTGGGGGGCCCTGCTTTGCAAGCCTTGTTCGCAATGACATCGTTCTTCCACGACGACTTGCAATTCTCAATTTGGGGACTGTAATCATTCGCTACATGAAACCCTCTACGCTACAGCTGGTAGCATCGGACTCGCTGGATCTCTGGTATCTGCATCTCGTTGCTGTGAAGGTTCGAAAATATTTAAGAAGAGCGCCCTGAAACCATGGTCAGTCTCACAGCTTTGAAGATTGTACGTTGCTGAGACTCCTACATTGCTGGACCTCGCTCTCACTCAGGTGTCTGAGCTTGTTGACTGCAGCAGTCTCGCCGGTAACAGCGCCCTTTACAACTTCGATCGTGCTTGTCAAGAGGTTCTTCGAGGCAGTGGCGTATGTGACGGTTTTAGTCTTGATCTTGATGAGACCGATTCTGGGATCCTCTGGGCCACCATCGTGCTTGCCATCACCGAGGTCTCCAAGCCATGCCTTCAAGGCAGGTGAGTAGTACTCGCGAACCTTAGCGCGGTCTGTCTCGACGGTAGCTGGTCCAGAGAACGAAGCCCACTCTCCAGAGTTGTTGAGAAAGCCGACGTTGACTTCCGAATTGGCATCAAGGTCATCCGTCTTGCCGCTCTCGGTGTTGGTGTGGAAGATAAGGTCAATGCCGTTGCCCTCCTGACAATTATATTGTTAGCGTCGGCTTATCTGATGGTCGACACATGACTCGAATGTCTGCTGGTCGGTACAGTGGTTTATGTTTCCGACGAACATGGAGTCACATTGCCAAGGTGTAGTTGTAGATGTAGATGTAGGTGCAGGTGCGCTGCTTCCGTAAAACTCACCTTCGCGGCGAGAGCCATAGCTCTGCTTACAAGCAAGCCACTCGTGTTCTTGGTCGTGAGCAGACAGAACTTGTTCCTGTCCACAAAAGTCTTCAGGTCCTCCACCTTCTCCTTCAACGAGGGATCCGAGGCGTTCTTCGTAGTGTATGGATCGGCATCCTTGGAGCCAGTGTTTGCGTTGCTGAAAGACATTTTTGGTGCTGTGTGGTGATAGGAGTGAGTCGAGCTTCTGTCAAGGAATGGTGTTAGTTGTATCTGGGGCAAGTACGCTCTTCGAATGGCAGGCGCGAGTCTCGTGAAGCGAATGCCGCGACTGGCGAGGGACATGTTCCTGAGGTGTTGCGAGCGAGCTTGTAAACGATAGTATGTCTGCGCAATGCCCGCAACGATTTCTGGGGCGAGTGGATGGAGGAGGAAAATCGACTTACCAGAGTGATGTTTGGGAGAATGAAAGGTCAAGTTGTCATCGAGAACAATCAAGATGTTCCCGTCATGTTTATGGCGTGCCTGAACCCCACTATGGGTTACGGTGGTGATGTCAGTGGTCGCACAATCGCGCTTGCCCCTCCCGCCCAAGGTCACATCACCATGATCATCATATTCACTTCAGGTTCTCTGGCCTGCTTCGGCGTGCCTTAGCTCCGGTCCATATTGTATAGTGGACAACGCTTTTGTATCTAAGAATGAGGGCAAATTAGCAGAACCGCAATATCCTCTTGTATAGATGGGTACAATTGGCTCATGAGCTGGCACAGAGTCATCGGTAATCTATTCTTCTATGAGAGCTTAAGCAACCTAGTCGATTTTCAGCGAGCTGTAGATGCGATGGACGAAAATCCAGCACGCAAAGAAGCCGATAGAGCCTAGCACACGACAAGTCAGCATTGATCACTTCAGTCCTTTGAGAAAGAGAGGGAGAGGACTCACCACTCAGCAAGAACCACAAAAAGCTCAACACAATCGAGTACCCCAGGTACAGCAGACTTCCAGTGAAACTGCTGAAACTCAGCATCCGCGCCCAGTACAGTAGACTGTAAGCGAAGACATAACCCGCGCTGGCTCCACTGCTCGCAAAGGCTCTCCACTGCCAGTGATAGTTTTCTTGGCAGAGCAAGAAGTATATCATCAGGATAGTGACTGCCGCAGATGTGACGACAAGCAGACCGAAGCTGAGGAAAAGGAAGCCAAACATGTAGTAGACTCGGTTACTCCACAGTGAATTCATGATGAAGTACAGCTCGACGAAGATGGCTCCAAAAGGTAGGACTCCCACCAGGAACATACTGGGGACAAGTCGGAGGTATCCTTGACTTGGTGGGATTTGTCGAGGGATCTGGTTTGTGTGGACTGGCGCGTCGGAGATAGGTTGGCGGAAACCAAACCAAGAACCCGCAATAGACGATGGTACCGAAATCACGAACCAGATGCCGACGATGACGAGCATGGTCGTAAACGGTACGGCTCCAGAGGACTGTCGTGCCCAGACAAAGAGGTTGAGGAGGAAGAAGGTTGCGAAGACGATTGCTGGCACTGCTGATGGTATCAAGACGAAAAGCTGCTTCCACTTCTCTCCGCCAAAGAACTTGTAGACACGTGCACCAGCGTAGCCTCCCACGCAGCCGAACACCGTGTAAAGCAGGATCATCACAGTCGCGAGACTACCACGGTTGCTGGGCGAGAGGAAGCCCACCAATGCGATGACGATCGTGAAGCCGGCCATCATGAAGAGCTGGGCACCATTCCCGACCAGGACGGAGAGCGCAAGAGCATGCTTCGGAGGTCTGAAGACGTCGCCATGGACCAGTTTCCAGCCGCTGTCATCATGGACGCCATCCCCAACGCTGGTGTCATTGAGATCGTCCAGGTCGATCTGATCCAGCCTGTTGTAGCGCGCAATATCCTTCCTCAGGGTTCTGACCAGGATGGTACTGACCATGCCGACCAGGAACATAACAATCACAGCACTGTTGATCAGCGAGAACCAGTGGATCTTCGGATCGAAGACATGTAGGTATTTGTCCCATCGTGTTGCGAAGGAGGTCGCCGAAGGTCTCCAGTACACACTGTACGTCCAGGTCACCTTGGTCACTGCACCTTCCTTTTCCGATAGTATCACTGGCCCTCCGTTCTTGCCACAATCTGCTTTCATATCGTCCCCTTTGCCAACTCTCTTTGAATCCCTTCTCGAGGACGGCTCGACCAAAATGCCCACCACTCTGTACTCGTTTGGACGTACAGCATGGTAGTCGATCCAGATGTCGTAGTGATTGTTCAGCTGGGGTCGATCATTGACCACATCTCCCAGCACGAATCCTGGTTGATAGAATTCGGAGTCCGTGTTGGGATCTCTGTACGCTTGCGCCGCAGGCAGGCCGTCAATCAGCCAGTTCACGATATAATCCTGCTGTATCCGACGGTTCACAAACTTGGCGTCCGCGTCCTTGAACACCACCTCATCGCATACTGCCTGGCATGTCTCGTTCACTTCCATGCGCAGCCGAAAGGGCGAAGTGAGGATCCTGTCGCCAAACAGTATGCTCCCCAGCGACTCTGATATCCGCTTTGGTCCATCTTTTGGTGCGCAGAAGTGGAAGTTGGGTTGGTAGTAGTCGAAGGAGAAGGCCGATTTGACTGAGTTGTCGCGCTGGGACTGAGCGGGCGACAGGTGGTTGACGGTGAGCGGGACTAGATCGCCGTGTTTGTAGTTGGTCGGTGTGATGCCTGTGTGTGGTCAGTCAGGCGGAGCCGTCTCTGTTGGGTGCATTCAGACCACGTTTACCTGGGAGGTAGAAGCCTTGAGCTAGCGGTGCTGCTGAGACCAACACCAGCAGCGCTGTTGGCAGCTCATAGAGGCGCATCTTGGCTTCACCGGACGAGTTCCAATTGTCGACGCGTCACAACTGATGTTGCCAGTCGCGTCACTCCAATGTTCAATGTCGTTGGAGGCAGATGTCCCCGTTCAGGTGCTGGAAGTCGAGAGCTTGGCGTGGATCGACAAGCTACCTATACCTTACCAAGCTGTTGGCGCGGGCTGTGTGTTATCCGGGTTGTCGAGCAGCTTCGGTTCCACTTTTCTTTCGGTGTTTTTACCATGAACACAGAGTAGTGAGTGAAGGACAGGGCGCGTCGAAATATCAAGCAACGTGTCAAGGCAACAAGAATACGAGGCCACTAGTTGATTCCTCGGGATTCCAATTAGAGGCCGGGCAGGACTCAGGAGTAAGGTAAGTATCATCATGGAGGATGAGGCAACCAACAATTCGCTATCAGCAGGACACAAAGGTAATGCACCTAGCTCCATGTCCTCGAAGCACGCCTCTATCGATACCACACGCAGTGTATGTCCCGTCGTCTAGGTTGCTGCTAACGATGATACAACCTGAAGAGCGCAACATTGCAAAGTCAACCAGTGATCTTGCAGTGACGGCACTGAGAGCAGGCTCAATGCAGCAGAGAGAAAGGTTTCAGGTACATGTATGAAAGGCAGAGAGCCCGGTCAGAGTACAGTATCACCTATTTACAAAGTTGCGACTCTCCACACTTGACGCAAAACACCACGCGTTCGGAAGCAGGGACCGTGTGCGGCGACGACCTTCGATTTCCTCGAGTCTTGATCTGTCTCGCTCCCATAAAGACACCGGCGAACTCCCTTGGCCGGCCGGCCCGCTCGCCGAGCGCACCAGCACAGTAGGTGAACGAGTACGGCAACTGACTGTAGAGCGTCCCGTACGAGTGGTCATTGTGTACAGTATATAGCACTGTCATTATTGGATAAGGTAGCGTTCACTCTCCCTCTCAGAAGCCATGGGCCCATCACTTCAGCCCGAAGCCAAGATGGCACATGTCAATCTCATGACCGATACCATCATTGCCAACTTGCCTGAAGAAGGCTTGCGATCAGTCCTCAGATCAATGCTTGCTACAGATCCCTCGATCACGAAGAATTTAGAACAGCGGACAAAGGTGTATCTGACAACGCAGTCGGCAACGCCCAAGGGAGACCTTTTTACACAAGACGGAACCACTCCAGCTGTCACACCCATCTTTCTAGCTCAGCAAGGCAGGATCCGGGCAATGATGGGATGTGGCATGTGCTACGAGAGCATTCCTCTTCTCGCAGCTATTGTCGTCCAGACGAAAGACTTGGCTATATCAACCGTCGACAGTCCTGAAGTACAACAGGCCTTGACAGCCGTCAATGGAGACATTATTCAAGCTCTCACCGCTGTACAGAAGACATTGGTCACTTCCTCAGGCTTGCGGACACTTGAGGATTCAGAGCATCTCATCATATCCAGTCTTCACCAAGCTCTACTCGAGGGTCAGCAGTCTCTGTCGCGTTGTGGCACTTATGCTTTCGACCGGAGTCTAGTGGCGCTACAAGCTTCGGGACTGCTATCAGAAGCTAAACATAATCGAGAAAGCGAACCTCATGAAGAAGACCGTATAACAATATCTGCTTTACCGGAGACTGTTGAAACATTCAAACTGAACGGCAAGAGTCTTCCCCGATTATTCTGCGGCCTCTGGCAACTGTCCAGTCCATCATGGGGCTGTGCTCCAGTCACTCGCATCCGATCTCAATTCGCGCAGTATGCCTCACAAGGCTTCACAGCATACGACATGGCTGATCACTACGGCGATGCAGAGATCATCTTCGGCAATTTCAGAGCATCTTGTCATAATCCAGAAGCCCTGTTCGGCGCAACAAAATACTGCATTTTCACCCCGACAACCATCACCCGCCAAGTCGTGCAAGCCAACATAACGGAACGATGTCAAAGAATGTCAGCTTCTCATATTGACCTTCTCCAATTCCACTGGCAAGACTATAACGATCCACAATACATCACTGCCTTACAATACCTTCAAGAAGATCCTCGGGTCCACAGTCTCGGTCTTTGCAATTTCGACACGTCCCACATGCTTGAAATCATCTCCAATGGAACAGTCAAAATTGCAACAAATCAAGTTCAATTCTCTCTCATCGACTCCCGCCCTCTCAGTCGAATGGCCCAAGTATGCAAAACTCATCATATCAAACTTCTCACTTACGGCACTCTGTTGGGTGGATTCCTTTCGGAGAAATGGCTCGATGAACCGGAACCAGAGCTTTTCTCCTCGACTATCACGCCCAGCCAGAGAAAGTACTACGAAATGATACTCAATTGGGGTTCGTGGGATCTTTTCCAGGAACTGCTGCACATTTTAGAGGGCATTGCAGGTAAGCATGGGGTCAGTCTGAGTAACGTTGCAACGCGATGGGTGTTGGATTTTGAGTTTGTGGGTGCGGTAATTGTGGGGACTCGATGGGGCATCAGTGACAACGCAGAAGACAATTTGAGAGTTTATGGACTGCACTTGGATGAGGAAGATCGACAACGAATCGAGAGTGTTTTAAGGAGGAGTAGGAGGGACGTCATTGTCGCTCTTCTCGGCGATTGTGGAGGGGAGTACCGGTAAATCGTGAACAATAATGACATCTGGAGATGCAGAACATGAACAACATGATCTCAAGAACATGAAGTCGCTCTCGGTGCGCTATCCGCTAACAGCAGCATGCATATTTTCATGGCAAGGCATTAGCCAAAGCAAGTATCTCCTCGCCAATTTCCGGATGGTTGCCGCGCTCCTCTGGGTTCGTAGATTCGATCATCATATCGAGCATTCCCGGCTTCGAGTCCGTAAGCAGCGACTTGGACATCGCAGTCCTCTGCACCACATCCATCCAGATCTCTTTTTGTTGTGCATTGTACTCCGATGCAGCCATGGCAGGTGGGAGCTGATGAAGCATGCCGAGCGTCCTGCCAACGAAATCCCTAAATATATAGAATCTTCGTCAAGTCGTCGCTCCAAAAAGAAAAAAAAAAGATGTGAAATCTTTGTAAACTGAGTGGACGGGGGGAGCTAGCTCAACTCACCACATGAAGTAGATTTTGTTCTTTGAAGCTGCGGGTGTCATGTACGTCTGGTGGAGATTCGGAGCCATGGCAGAGTGATGAGCAAGCTTGTCGAACAGCTGCTGATGGGTCTCGGTGTATTTCTTCCAGTCAGCATTGGCATTGGACGGAAGTGGTTGTGACACCAAGCCAGTGGTGAATTGTTCGCGAGTGGATGTTGTTGGGTCCATATTGCTTTTTCGAGGGGAGAGTTAGAGTGTGAGATTGAGATGACAGGAATCCAAAGGGGAAACGCTTTTGTAGGTACTCACAGCGATAATCTTGAGAGAGTAGGTACTTGTTGAAGAAAAAAATTCTGGTAACAAATCGTCTTCTTATACTCCAATTCGTTTAGCAGATACTACTGGTATTTTGCGACGTGTCGCACGAACGCGTACAGGCCCTCTTAGGCAGCGAGACGCGAGAAAGACGGCGGCGACGGCGGCGTCGGCGGGTAGGGCCGGGTGATCTATTTCTGGAAGCAGCCCGAACTTGACACGCAGTCACATGATTCTTAATGCACTTCGCTTTGTGGCAGCAGCTGGTGCATAGGAAAGCTGGCATCGTCAACAAATGTCGCTAGATCTGCTCGCATCGGTTGGTTCCATTAGGGGAGGAGAGCCGTGTACAATGCGTGCCTTATGAAGCTTGCCTGATTTTCATATTTGCCCAGATACGTTGTGCTTGATTGAAAGGAGAAGACAGGCCAGATGTTCTCTATGAGCTCGCCCCAGGCCTCGCCCTTCAACACACCACGAGACGATCGCCCACGTCCACCTCGACAGTCTTCCCAATTCCGTCCTGGCGTGGCTCCCTCTCCCGGAGGATATCAGCAGCAGCAGCAGCAGCAGCAAGACGGCTACTTCCCTACCGTCGCTCCCAGCGCGAATCAGCAGCCCATGAACTACACACAGACCCCAACCATGGAACAACAGCAGCAGCAGCAGCAGTACGGCGGGCCGCAGTATGATGGCCAGCATGATGTCAATGGCATGGCGCAGCAAATGGGGCAAATGGGCTTGGACGGAGCTGCCGGTACAGTACGGAGGAAGAAGAAAGACCGGCATGCTCATCACACAATCGAGACGCCTGCTGGAAGTTCTGCATTTGGAGGGAATGGCATACCACCAGCACAGCCAGGTGGAGACCCCGCTCAGGCTCCATGGCAACAGACAAGTCAGCCATGGCAGTCGCAAACACTCCCGCAGCCCGGAATGCAGCTCAATGCTCAGCCTGGAGTTCCGTTGCAACAACCAGGAGTGCCTGTGGGAGCACCCATTAGTATGGGAAATGCTCAGCAGCCTGGTGCGGCGCCTGGTGCTCAGCGGGTCAATCCCGATCTGATCCCAAGCATACCTCTGAGTCGAGATCTGCCCGCGGACTACTATAAACAACACGTATATCCCACCATGGAGCAGAAGCTGCCGCCCCCTGCAACGACGCCATATGTGGCGTATGATCAGGGGAACGCTTCCCCAAAGCACGCACGCCTCACCCTTAACTGTATACCCAACTCGCAAGAGCAATTGGCAACGACTGGACTGCCTCTCGGAATCGTACTGCAACCTCTGACCCGTCAGGCCGACGGAGAGTCTGCCATACCTGTGCTTGACTTTGGCGAGACCGGGCCACCTCGATGTCGAAGATGTCGTGCGTACGTGAATCCATTCATGGTCTTCTCGAATGGAGGCAATCGTATGACTTGCAACCTCTGTGGGCATCCTAATGAAGTTGCGCCGGAGTACTTCGCTCCTACAGATCCTACTGGTGTTCGTGTAGATCGTCAAGACCGGCCCGAACTGCTTCTAGGCACTTGCGAATATCTTGTTCCAAAAGAGTATTGGTCGAAAGAACCGGTTGGTATGCGCTACTTGTTTCTCTTGGACGTGAGCGCCGAGAGCTGTAATCGTGGCTTTCTCAAAGCTACATGCGATGGTCTTCTCGCCGCTCTGTATGGTGACGACCTCGAAGTCGAGCCGAAAGACACAGAGACCGAGAATGAGGGCGAGGCGAAGCCACTGAAGCCCAGCAAAGTCCCCCCGGGCGCTAAGGTCGGTTTCATGACATTTGATCGAGAGATCCATTTCTTCAACGTTTCCTCTGGCCTTCCTGCACCGCAACAGCTGGTCGTTTCCGATCTCGATGACCCGTTCACAGCTATTTCTTCGCATCACCTTTTCGTGGATGCTGCCGAGTCCAAGTCAAATATCGTACCCCTTCTCCAACAGCTCCCTGCCATGTTCGAGCGCATCAAACACGCCGAACCTGCTCTACTTCCGCCGCTTCAGGCAGCTCTTTCTGCATTGGCAGAGACTGGTGGAAAGATCCTATGTTCTCTCGCAAGCCTGCCAACATATGGTCCAGGGCGTCTGACCGTACGTGATCGAGGCATGCAGACTGCGAGCAACGACAACCCCGAGCAAGAGAAGGTGCTTTTCCGCACCGAAAACCAAAGCTTCAAAAAGCTACAAGCCGATATGGTCAAGGCCGGCGTCGGTGTTGACTTCTTCCTGACAGCGCCCGCTGGTGGTTACCTTGACATTGCCACCATCGGCCTGATCGCCGAGAAGACGGGCGGCGATACATTCTACTATCCCAATTGGGCTTATCCTCGCGACACCCTGAGGCTTGAAAAGGAATTGAGCCATGCAGTTCAGCGAGAACAAGGCTATGCTGCCCTGATGAAGGTGCGCTGCAGCAATGGTTTGCAAATTTCACACTATAGTGGCAACTTCACGCAACATACTTTCGGGGCAGATCTTGAGATGGGCACATTCACCGAAGACTCTGCGATTTCCGTTACTTTCAGCTACGATGGCAAATTGGAGGTGCGGCATGACGCCCACTTTCAGTCGGCACTGCTCTATACGACGGCTTCGGGACAGCGGCGAGTAAGATGTACCAATACGGTTGCCACTGTCACTGAGAATGCTCGAGACAGCATGCGCTTTGTCGACCAGGATGCCGTACTCTCGGTCCTTGCTAAAGAGGCAGCCGCGAAAGTGCCCGATAAGTCTCTGAGCAGTGTACGACAAGAGTTGCAAGATAAGACGACAGAGGTACTTACAGCATACCGAAAGCATCACAGCGGCTCCCATCCCCCTGGTCAACTTGTCATGCCAGAGCACATGAAGGAATTCGCAATGTATATGCTGGGCTTGATCAAATCCCGAGCATTCAAGGGCGGTAAAGAACCCAGTGATCGGCGTGTACAAGAGCTGCGTATGCTCAAAGGCATGGGACCCGGTGAGCTCAGTCTATACCTTTACCCTCGCGTGATCGCCATCCACGCCATGGAGCCCGAGGAAGGCTTTGCAGACGAGAACGGGCACTTGAAAGTGCCTCGCAGCGTTCGAGCGAGCTTCGCCAATATTGAGGAGGGAGGTGCTTACCTCGTTGATAATGGCCAGATGCTTATCTTGTGGCTGCATCAACTCGTGAGCCCGAACTTATTGGAGGACCTGTTTGGTGAAGGTTGTGACGATCTGCAGAAGCTGGACTCGAATCTCAATGCCTTGCCTGTGTTGGAGACACATCTTAATGCTCAAGTGAGGAATATTCTGATTGCGTTGGAGCAAGGTTCTGGAACTGGACGGGGAACCAAGGGCCTTTCCATACAGCTCGCTCGACAAGGCCTCGATGGTGCCGAGTTCGAATTTGCAAGATTGCTGTACGAGGATAGGAATGGGGAGGCGAGCAGCTACGTGGACTGGCTGGTCATGCTGCATCGTGGCGTCAGTCAAGAAGTAAGTCAATTCCAGATGTACCAACGAAGAATGAGTGTAAATCAGAAGCTAACAGGTGATTTGTACAGCTATCTGGTCAACGTTCCAAGGGCTCAGCGGATGGCAAGAATTTCACCGAGACCATCACCACTATTGCAAGCAATGTGCCATATTGGGGGTAAATGGAATACAATACCACGAGATGCATATAGTTAGTGCGAGTTGCTTCGGCGAGGTTTGATACTGGCAGAAGGGTGATTGTAAGTAAGGTAGCGAGCGAGGCGTTGGGGAGCGGGGGCGGGCGAAGAGGTCGAACAGTGCCACGAGCAAATGTAGAGACTTGACTCGAAATCGTGACTTGAATGTTGCAACACGAGGACCACATTCCAATGTTCGCTGAAGCACCTGGACACTCTTTTGAATGGTATACCGTACCTTAGACGGGCAGCAGCGCTCCGTTCCATGCATATTGCGTCATCTATACCATACCATCCGCACCTCTCCTCTTCCATCGCCTACCTACCTGTACCTTAGGTATACCTTCGACTCACGGCATCAGGTCTATACCATAGGTACATGTACCTAAAGCTGCAACTCTCCGAAAACAGTTGCATGTCCCCAAATCTCTTCCAGACGCCTCTTCTCCATACCGCTATCAAAATGTCGAAGAGAGTAAGTACAGCTCAGAAGCCCCCTACGGACCATTCATCGTTGGAAGAAGATGAAGATGATGAAGAAGAAGAAGAAGAAGATACTAATACCAATTTATCCGTCTCTCTAGATATCCTTCATCTGCAAAGGCACAGTCCAAGGCGTCAACTTCCGGTAAGCCCCAAATCAGCAACATTGGAGGTAGAGGAGGTATCACGAGAAAAAAAAACAGCAGCTCAACTGACCTATTCCATCAATGAATTTACCTACATATAGTTCTTTTACAGAAGAAAAAGCCACAAATCTAAATTTGACGGGTTTTGTGAAGAATGCTAGTGATGGTACGGTACGTTATCCCTCTGCAGGCATTTTCCCCTTTGCTTTTTCACATTGCATACAGACGTTGCGTACTCACTCATTTTTTTGTGGTTTTGATATGTTACTTAGGTCATCGGAGAAGCTCAAGGCTCTTCGAGCAATCTGGACAAATTTGTGCAGCATTTGAAGATGGGTCCACGAGCTGCGAAGGTCAGTGGGGTGGAAGTGGAGGATGTGCAGATGAAAGAGGAGGAGAGGGCGTTTGAGCAGTAAGTTTGAGATGATTGGATTGTGATTGTTTAGTGAGGTTGAATGTTGGGGGATGGGGGGAGTTTGTGTTGACCTGAAGATTATTTAGGATAAGAAGATGAATTCGATTGTGGGAAAGTGGTTATCCTATGCATTGTAAGGCAGTTCGCAGGGACTGGGCTACGAACGGCATGGGAGTTGAGTGTGAGAGTTGAGAAAGGTATGTAACTTTGCTGAGGCAGAGCAGGTGAGGTGCTGACTTTGGGTCTTGCTAAGCCGTCAGGTTATGAGCCCCCCAGGCAACCCGTGTAGTATTATACCGCTCGCCCGCAGCCGATGCGTTAGAGGAAACCTCCTTCGCGCCAAGTAGAGTAGAGAAATGCCGTCAAAAGATCGCTCAAACGCTATCAAAACAAGTCGACCACCGCCTAGGCCTTTACACCAGGAACCGGTCAAAATCGACGCCAGAAGACACTTCCTTCCCTCTAGGATTTCCCAATAACCTCTTCTCGTTCCCAGCCACCCGGTCGTTGATATTGCAATCCCTTGACCGGATGTGGCTTCTCTGCATCATAATATTCGCTCACATAAGGGTTCGGATCCTCTTTCTGATCCAGATTACCCAATGTGTGATTGACCTCGCGATGCTTGCTCTCATCTGCACGAATGTATAGCAGCAAATCTCGCATCGTCCGACGATCAGCTGGCATGTTCCAGTATTTGACTTTACAAAAGGTTAGTACCTGTAGGTGCAGACGAAGCTTTTGGTTTTGGGACATTGATATCATTGATTGATTTACTTACCTGCAATGTCTGGCGCGACCATCTTCTCCCATTTTGGTAGGTGACCAGCGTCCAAGTCTTGGATCTCGCGGGTATAGGTGAGGACGGCTTCCTCTTCGAGATGTCCGACGAAACGATGGCAGGTTTTGGGGGAGATGAGGTAGGAGACGAAGAAGGCGTTGAAGAATACGCCTTGAGCGCCCAGAACCATGATTTTCATGAACCTGAATTCTCGAATTAGCTCATGTCCGTTCTTTCTCAATTGGCAAAGTAGGCATGTGGATGATTATGAACACGACATGACCAAAAAGAAAGAAAGAAAGAAAGAAGTGAAGGGAAAAGAAAAGAAAAGAAGAAACTCACCACCCCGGCTCCGCCATTTTCAAAAACGTCAACAAATGCATCCTCTCATTATACGACTCCTCCAACAACGACTCAATCCATCCATTATCCCTCTTCATCCTCCTCATCGAATGCAAATGCCGCAACATGCCCGCCGCCATCCCCGGAACTCCCGCCACCGATTCGAGGAAAATGTTTCGAATCATGTACTGTCTCTCACTCATCTGTCCACTCCCTTTGCGATACCCCGAAGCCACATCGAGGCCCCACCGCAATGTGCGTACGAATCCGAGAGCGATGCGATCAGACCAGGTTTTGCATTCGCGTTGGGCGACTTGCACGGATGTCATTTGGTCGTAGGTATAAATGGGATGAGGCCATGCGGGAGGCGTTTTACGGATCGTGGGTGCGTCTGGGGCGGGGAAGGTTTCTTTCCATTGTGTCCGGGGGGTGGTGCTGAAGTTTTTGCGGTGGTGGTGGTGGTGGTGTTGGAAGCTAGCGATGATGGAAGGTCTTGCTGCTGCGGATGCGGATGCGGATGCGGATGCTAATGGGAAGTTGAGGGCGAGGAGGACTGAAGCTGCAGTCTGCTGCTTCGTCAGGATCGCGTGTGTGGAGGGTGTTCTTGTGCAGAAGCTCATGGAGTGCGAGTTGTGATAGGTGGTAATGGTAGTGATGGTGGTGAGGTGGTGATACGATCTGTATGATTGGAAGTTATGTTCTTTATGGTGAGTATAGGCCTGAGCAAAGTGAGTCGTAGCTGAGGCAAAAAAAAGGGAGATGTTATATATCCTTGCCAGCAAACGTGCTCATGAAAGAAAGAGAGAATATAAAAAAAAAACTTGCTCTTAGTCAATCGATCCTTTCACCTACCTGACCTGACCGCTTGATGATTATTCGCCTTTTTTTTCCGCTGCGGTGCGGTGGTGGCGGATTACGGGAATACCTCCCTAGCATTGATGGATGATGATGACCGTTACAGTCACAATTTACAAAGCTGAAGCAGAAGCGACTGAGTCAAAAAGAACAGACGCGACGCGTCCCGACGCCAAGCCTTTCCGGTCTGTTTTCGTGCGGGCCAATTCGGAGCACATGTCAAAGGTCATGCGCCTGGCAAAAGGATGAAAAAAGATGGAATGGATGACTACACGACGAGAAGAATCAGGCTTGCTTTGCTGTTGTTTTGTGTCACTGTCCGGGCCTATGATTATTATTATTATTATTATCATTATTGTCATTGCTAGCCAGCTCGGTATTACTTACCACTACAGACTTGAGCATGTTTGAGCGAGTGTCAGCAGTCATGGTGCATCCAGGTACCTTACCTATCTATCACTTTGCCACCACTAGAGGATACATATATATCCTCCAAGTCTGACACATACATGATGTGTCCGTCTGACAGCCAGTGGCGGAGGCCAGCTGAGATACATCTTCCTCTTTCCATGAAGCTGTGCGACCTAGATTGTACTCGACACTGCCTCTCAGCCGGACTGAGAGCTGCAGAATGTTACCCAGCTCTCCTGGGGCTTCATGCTTACGCTGAACAGGTGCGGTGTGACAGAATGGGAGATCGTCCTCGCGAGGAATCACTCCATGCTTGCTATGTGTGCGAGACTCTTTGCAGAGTGATAAGCTGTCGCCTTGGGAGTTGAGGAAGATCTTGCTCGAGAAGCTCATACCTGCGCGAGGTTTAGCTGTCTCGCTAGCACTCTTGGTAGAAGTGCAGCTCAGGCGGCTAGAAGAGATGCGAAGGATCGAGAAGATGCGGTAAATGGTCTCTCATCGCTTGACCACAGAGAGCTGAACGGCTTCATGCTGTGTTAGCTACCCATCATAGTGGAGCACACCAACGCGTACCTTGCTACCATTAGCGTGTCGGACGACGTGTGATCACGCCGCAATCATATCTGAACGCTGAACTACACGCTTCTTCTCTTTCTAGCGTTGTCTTCCTGGATAGAACGGGACTTCATACACACAAGCCGAGATGAACGATTACAAGAGTAATGGCATGGATGTGCTCTGATGGACAACAAGGACGACGTCATGTGAGCAGGCCGACGGGCTATCGACCCCACCACCAATGCCTCCTCCAACAACTCCCGGATGAGGAGGAAAGGAAGTATAATTTCACAATCATAGTCAGCTCTCCATCCTCGTGTAATCATCTCCGCCATAAAACATTATTCCAGAATACTTCCTCAACCGCAACAATGGGCAAGAAAAGTACGAAAGAACGCTACCTTCTTTACGAATACATGTTTATTGGTCATAGTTGAGCTCACAGCCTTCTTTTAGGAGTGCAATGCTGTATATCAGTCGACATTGACGCCGTTGCCGGCTGGCTCGGATCCTACGGAGGCGAAGATTCCACGTCAGATATCAGTCGAGGCCTCTTCGCAGGCACGATCGGTGTGCGACGACTCCTCAAGCTGTTTGAGAAGTACAACATCACCACCACCTGGTTTATCCCGGGACACTCTCTCGAAACGTTTCCCGAGGAATGTCGAATGATTGTGGATGCGGGCCATGAAATTGGTCTGCATGGCTATAGTCATGAGAACCCCGTTGCTATGACTCTGGAGCAGCAGACTGCTGTGATGGATAAGTGCTACAAGCTTATCACCGAGTTCCAGGGTAAGCCTCCGAGGGGTATTGTAGCTCCTTGGTGGGAGGCAAGTCAGGAGGGTGCGGAGCTTATGCTGCGGTATGGACTCGAATATGATCACTCCTTGTCGCATCATGACTGTCAATGCTATTGGTTGCGAACTGGCGACAAGTGGGTCCCCATCGACTTCAAGAAGCATCCAGAGCATTGGATGAAGGTATGGTACTCCCCACGTACTGCAGATTGGTGATTTCCAATTAACAATCCATCGCAGCCGCTCGAAGGAGGACCGATGACCGGTCTCGTCGAGATTCCGGCATCGTGGTATCTTGACGACTTGCCGCCGATGATGTTCATCAAAAAGGTAAGAAGAAGTCGCTGTATCCGAGATCATCGCTACGTATATTCTGACCACCTCTGCCCTCAGTCATCAAACAGTCACGGATGGGTGAATCCGCGCGACGTGGAAGACTTGTGGATGGACCAATTCAAGTACTTCTATCGAGAGTACGACGACTTTGTCTTTCCCGTGACTGTGCATCCGGATGTCTGCGGGCACCCTCACGGATTGCTGATGCTGGAAAGGTAACTACCTCATTTTGATGCGACTCCGTACTTACTGGATGACCCCAATGCTGATGTATGTATGTGCAGGATCATCGAAGCCATCAACACATACGAGGGAGTGGAGTGGGTCACCATGGAAAATATTTGTGATGACTTCAAATCGAAGAGCACTCCGCCCAAGGGTGCGATGCTACCTGCTGAAGTCGGTGCCATCTTCAAGGATCCGAACTTGGAGCTGAAGAAGCAGGAGTAGCTTCTCTAGTCCTCTAGAAAATTGGGGTCTGATGTGAAGTGTGGTAGTTGCGTGACATGATGCCTTCAATCGAATCATTGCTGCCATCAAAATCCACTTCTTCTACTACATGTTGGGTGAGTTGTATTGTGAAGTCAAACAGCCCGAAATGCTCCATCTTCCCGAAAAGAACACGCGATACCTAGAGAAGATCAAAATATCGCCCGCGTCGTGTACGGGTGCAGCAGACTTTGATAAATGTAAACCATCACGACTGATGCCTTGTGCTTGCAACGACCGGGTCCTAGGAGTAGGTCGACGATCAGATTGTCGTCCAGGATCAAGGCCATATCACACTCTGGCTTCTCGTTCAAATGTGACCTTTCGTGCATAGCGCAGGATTCGCATGGCAATCTCTCGCCTTCCATACGGCCATACCATACTGCTCACGAGACTCGCCCTTCCCCAACGTTGCGATCTCGCCGCCTCACCGAGCACGTCAAGGTGGCTACAGAGCGTATCTCGGCATGCCCAGGTCATATCGGCGATGACAGAACATCAGAGTGCAAGCTGCGTCATCGCTTGACCATCTAATGGGCTAAAACCTGTCATAATCCAATGAAGAACAGGTGCTATGTCAATTCCATGCTCTACTACTCGTCCCGTCAGCGATCACATGAAGAAGCTGAGCCGGGTCCAGCAAAGAACGATGCAGACGCGTCGAACAGGTAGCTGGGATTTGAGACAACAACAGGCGAAAAGGGTACGCAAAACAGCCAGCATGGCCAGTAGTGGTACCCACGACGCAGACATGACCGAAAGGAGCCAATCACGAGGAGGAGGATTGTCTTGGACGTGAGTGAAGTGAAATGTAGCAGGAAAAGGCTTCACTAGCGCGTTCTGACGTCGCGAGTCGCGACTGCCGCAGTACACGGACCGTTAAGTGGTGCCTGCTCGCCATTTCGTCGGCCGCATAACGACCATGTTTACACTGAGTTTTGACCTCCCGCTTTTTGACCTTTCACAAAACACACAGACCTCCGACACTCTTTGTTGCGGCCATCCAACAAGACTTCTGTGCGCGCATCAGCTTCAGGCGCATCGTCTCTCTCCTCCTTCCTGTCGCCAGTCGAGTATCTCGCTTCGCTTTCGCTCGAGCCGCATCTGCAACAGCTTGCGCTCGGCGCATTTTGATCAGCCAACATGGACGACCAGCAGTATCTAGAGCCGGACTTTGATCCATCAACGCTGACTGTGCCGCGACTGCGATCTATCCTGGTTGCGCACAATATCAACTATCCTTCATCGGCCAAGAAGTCACAGCTGATTGAGCTGTTCAACACCGAAGTCGTTCCCCAGGCGCGCAAGATCCGCACCGCGAGCGCTCGCGTGAAGCGTACGAGCAGAGGCATCGAAGATATCACAACGGGACGAAAGGGAACAGGAGCCGGCGACAATGACGAAATCCCACCCACGCCCGCATCGACACGATCGAGCAGACGTACTACGAGAGCGAGGACTGAAGAGGCGCAAGAGGTTGAGCCGACACCGCGATCTACGAGGCATAGCACTGCTCCGCCGGAAAGCGTGCCCCGGACTGTCTCAGGAAAGCATGCGCGAACGGTGGAGACGGTGATTGAAGAGACTGAGCCTACGCCAAAGCGTAGTTCCACGTCCAGGACGAGGTCACGACTCAGCGCTGCCACGCCTGTTGCAATCAGGCGGGAAGAGGACACTAGCCCCTTCTCGAATGACAATGTCTTCCAATCTGGCGGCTCTCCATCAGCAGCTCGTGCGCCTGATACAGAGCGTCGGCGGACGACCATGGGTGCATCACGATCCTCAACCACTGCGCGTGACCTTGAGCGCCGGCACCGTGAGCTACGAAGACGAACCGATGTCGTGAGCACAGTAAAGCCGCAGACCGATGGAGCAATCGTGCCTTCGCGAAGGACGTTTGAGGTACCGGTGGCACAGCAAGAGGAGATGGAGGTGACGGAAGAGTTTACAGCAGAGGAGGAGCAGCAGCTTGTGGAGGCGCAAATGTCTGGCGAGCTGGTGCCAACCCGAAGACGGACCTCGCGACCTGGCGGAGCTGCCAAGCGTGGACTGGGCGCATTCTTACTTGTCATGGCTACTGCCACATCTGGTCTCTGGAGGCAAGAAAAGTTGAACGTTGGCTACTGCGGTGTTGGACAGCCTTCTATGGAGATTGGTGGCGTGGAGATTCCGCCTTGGGCAGATGTCATCCGACCACAATGCGAGCCTTGCCCACCACACGCCTACTGCGGCGAGAAGCTCGAGACAACATGCGAGAAGGGCTTCGTACTGACACACCACCCCTTGTCAATTAACGGATTCATTCCGGTCCCACCAACGTGCGAACCGGACAGCACCAAGGCGCGCAAGGTCAAGGCCGTGCAAGAGCGCGCCATCGAAGCGCTACGTGAACAGAACGCCAAATTCGAATGCGGCGAGGCCTCAAAGCCCGAACTTAAGGAGACCGCCCTCAAGGCCGCCATTTCGACCAAGCGCCGCAAGGGCATGAGCGACGAGGAGTTCGAAGATCTGTGGGCATCAGCAATCGGCGAGATAACCAAGTCCGAGGAGGTTGTCTCGGGATCAGATGGGTAAGTCATACGTCAACCACACATTCTGTACTCGGCTTCATGCGTAGCTTACACAAGTGTTTCCTACTGACAGATTCTCCGCGTCCCCAGCTCCAACTCCGAATCAACACTCCGATCCACGTCACTCGCAGCCCTCCCACTTGCCTGCGCTATCCGACGATCCCTTCGAGAGACACTTAGACGATATCTTTGGCAACTTGTAGGCGTTCTGCTTCTGCTGAGCAGCGGAAGCTATGGACGGTACCGAATCACCTCTGGGACCAAGATGGAAAAGCAGGCGAAACAGCTTGCCTCCTTGGCATTGGAGAAGTTGAGCTATCAAGCGGCGCTGCACGCGAGCGAACCAGACTTGTACAAGGAGAATTACATGAGTGTCGCACAATTGCGAGATGATGTGCTGAGAGACGAGTTCAGCGCAAAGCGACGACAGGAGTTGTGGGAGCGGGTTCAAAAGAAAGTGGAGAGCAACTCCAATGTACGACCTATGGTCCGGGAAGGACGAAGTGGTGATGTGGGTAGAGTGTGGGAATGGGTTGGCGCAGTGGGTTTTCTGGAGAGTCCAGAGGCTGTTGGATCCACTCGACGCTCAAGGGGAAGAGTAAGCTTTGCTCCGAGCGAGGACAACAGTGTCATCGAGGGCGGTGATAGCCATCCCGTTCCGCGGCTGGATATCGTCAAGACGCGTAAATGGCAGGAGGAACAATCGTACTATTGATTTGATCGTCGAGTTGCAAAGAGTGGAAGCACGGCCTCGATGCCGATGGCAGCATTGACGAAACTGTTTTGATGCAAGACACCTCTTCGTGTGATTGCAAATACCATCCCTTTTCTTTGGTTAAGCAGAGCAGGTGTACGATTGGTGTGAGGGAATTCGAACGACTATAGCTCGGATGAGGATTTACCTTCCCAGGAGGATGCAACGATAGGTACCTAAGGTACCTTTTAGTATGAAATGCTCAATTCATGTCTTCGCGAATGATCGGTTCATTCATACATCGCGTTCTCCCCCTCGCTTGGGTTCTTTCTTGCCTGTGTGTGTCCGCCATATGTATCTATAAGGACTTGTCTGACTTAAGTTGTCTCCCTCCATTCAGAGTAGGTACATAGGTACCTTACATGTAGGCACGTATAAGGTATGTATGTATGTATGTATAAGAGGTATAGGTAAATGTACAATACAATTCTACCCTAGCACGCACGCCACTACCTGCCTGGCACCTGCTACCTTAGTCCCAGCCTCTTCTTTGTTCTTTTGTTCTTGTGATTTCTTTTTTTCCTTTCCTTTTCTTTTCTTTTGCTCCTGCAATTGTGCGTGCGTGCGTGTACTACGTATGTTGAGGTACATGTATTCGTAAGGTACTCAAATCAAATCAATTGATCGATCAAATCGGCCCTGCTTTTTTTCGCGTGATCGTTTTTATCTTCTTCTCCCTCTTTTCGGGGGGGGGGGGGGGGGTTCGTTTATATCTACATGTAGGTACGTACCTACTTGACCGATTGGTTGGTTGGTTGGTTTGGTTTGGGACGAGAAGGCGAAAGAGAGAGAGAGAGAAAGAAGTAGACAAGAATATTCTTCTTCTTCTTCTCCCTTACTATATTCAGTATCATTCGCAATCTGAAATATATAGTACCTAGGTTTGGAGCTGAATACCTAAGGTAGGTCAAGGGATATCGTATCATCCTAGGGCTTTAGCAGTTAAGGTAGTTAGTAGTAGCGACATATATAGCCTACAACTTTTTTTCTTCGAATTAGCCTAATCCTTTCCGTCTTATCGTTTGATCGTTGCCCGTCGTTGTCGTTGTCGTTTATCGTTATATCTTCCCTCTTAACCGAGGAAGGAAGAAGAAGAAGGAGAAGAAGAAGAGGAGGTAGAAGAAGGACAAGAAAGATAAAAAAGGTCATTCTTGTTATCATTCCCCAAGGCTCAAGCTCAAGGCTCGCCGCTCAAGCGAAAAAGAAACAATAATAAAGTCTACACTTTCCAAATCGAGGTATTGCATCAACTGCCGAGTAAACGTTTCTTTTTGTTCTCTTTCGTTCTCATGATTGAGAAGATTTTGTTTGCTCGAAGAATGCCGGTAACCTTACCTTACCTTACTTGACCTGTCAGCTCGCTCGACTAGGAGGGAAGAGAGACATGGGAGGGGGCAAGGCAGGGAGGGAGGGCATCGTACGCATCAGCACTACGATGATGATGATGATGAAGAAGATGATGATGTTTTGCTCAGATTTTGTTGCATCGTATCGCACAATATGAAAAAAATCGGAATCAAACTCGTTGCTTTCGTCATCATCATCATCTTTTTACATACCTTGCTTAAAGTAGGTTCGTAGGAGAGGAGGTATATTATTTAGGTATATACATACCTTTATTACTCCCCATGTTCTCGACGACCGACTGGCTGGCTGGTTAGTAATGACCCGGCTGTCTGTCGAAAGTTTATATACCTACCTGAGCCTTGAGGTATATGTCGAGAAACGACGAATTTGGCGTAGTTCAGTCAGATACGATTTGTCCAGGTATCTCGATATAGAAGATAGAAAAGTAAGGTTTTCTTCGAGCGCTGTCAGCGGTCAGCCTGTACGAGGTCTGTTACGAGGGAGGGCTACCTACCTACAAGCGAATGAATGTCTACCTAGGTCGGGTAAGGTAGGTAGCCTGTAGTAAGTGAGCACCAATCAGGGAAGAAGTGATGGAAAACCAGAAAATCTGTAGAAAGACATCCTACATGTATTCACTTGATTATGACATACTAGGAGCTGATTGGATGGGGTAGGTAGGTGAGGCATCTGGGTAGTCCTACCTCCTAGGAGTGACTGCATGTATGCATGCGAGCCACGCCATCATCTGTTCATCTGTCGTCGTTCTGCTGCAAGATGGGAAATCGGAGTAAGGTAGTAGGGAGGTAGGGGGGCAGTTACATTAGTTACCTGGTACATGTGCTTTTTTTTACCTCCAGTCCAACGTACGCACGCAGGGCGCCGCCACCGCCGCCGCCGCCGCTGTGTGCAAGTGAAGTGCTGATTGATGATGATGATGAAGCCCGCTTCTCGGTAGGTAGGAGGTACATACAGTACATGTTATGCAGGAACCCGCATGTTGACAGATCTTCTTGGCATGCACCATAGCATGTAGCGCTGCTTGCTGCTGATGCTGATGCTGCTGCATGTATGTCGCGACGCTCGCTCGATGGGCATGTCTAGTAGGAGTTGCTGTGCATGCAGTGGTGAAGGATACGCCGGCCGTGGTTCTCACATGCATGGAAAAATTCTTTTCAATCAGTTCGCATACGCCCCAGGTTAGGTGTGTATTATGGAAAGAAAGGTATTCTGCTTGCGTTGGATCTTGCTGCAGCTTTTGGAGGGCGAGGATGTACTGTACGTGCAATTGCTAGCAACTCACAGCTACCTGACCTTACATGTCCATGAAGAAGCATTTGATCATCTGGGGATGGATGAATGAATGAGACCAAGGGACGACTTTCTGTTCAGCCAATAGCGACCCTATCGTCTACGAGGACCGTACGTTGAGTGAAAGACCGCGAATTTGCTTTCGTCTTCATCTCCGACATCGAGCTGCCATCCGACGGGCCTCAGCAATCATTGGGGAGCGGATGAGATACCCAGCACTAGCGAAAAGAGGTTGGTGTCTAGAAGCAGGTCTCGAAGTCCTACTAAATCCGGGCTGACCATCCCAGGTGTGACTACCTGCAAAGACTGCATGAAACTCTTTGTGGTAAACGCAATGCTTGCTGGGGATACAGTACATACAGGGTTAGAGGAATGTACTGTACCTACAGGAACGCTCTTCGCCCCGAGCAATGCCGCGATGGGGGGCCTTTGAGATCCATTTCGTACGGAGGTAGTGTGTATCCGCAGGACCGCAGCAGCAGCAGCAGCGAACGCACGTCCCAAAAATCAAGAAGACGCCCTAGTTAGCGCTCGATGCGCGCTCGCTCTGAACGGAATACGCTATTGTGCACTTCTTCGATAATCAACATTTCCACTTTCTGCCGAGTCCGCTGTCCGCAAATGCCAGGGCAACAGCTCTATTCCCGTCCCAATGTCTATCGCTGCTCTAGCCTACACACTACTTGACTTGTTAAGCTTCTCGGGGCCGACGTGGTATGTCGGTACTCTCGTGAGTCAACTGGAAACGGAGAGACATGCCGGACTGGTGATGAAGATCCTCCAGGGAATAAATGCATTGCGAGGGCATTGAGTTTGGACAGTGGAGTGAGTGAGTGAGTGAAGGAGTGATGAGAGAATGGTAGACGACATGACTCTACCTCCTACCTCCTAGTGAGAGGAGAAACAGAGATGGTCCAGGAGCGGAGCCTCCACAACGGCTGCATGGCATTGCCAGTTTGCCACCCAGCGAGGAGAGTCCGAGAGCAGAGACCTGCCCTGCTGGAAGAAAAGAGTCTTTTCGGCCTTTCAAAAGTCGCGAGGCCCGGAACATCCATGCGATTTGGCCCCAAAAAAAGTGGAGTTTATTCGACTCGCTTTGATCAGCCAAAAACACACATTTATGATTTGACAAATCTTGAGACTGCGAGACAAAAAACAAAGCAGGCGGGAAGGTTGTGATGGCCAATTCATACAAGGGTGAGCCCGAGGCGGAACTTTGACAGGTCGGAGAATTTATTCTGTCTGATTCACGAAAATGCGCTGGCCACATGCTGAACTATACTGTATGGAGTAGTGAAGGTCCAGGTGTGAGGAGGCAGGCTTGTTTGATGAGCAGTCGATCGGTTTCGTCCGGCCGTCCGCACGTAACAGTGTACGTTGCGTGTGTGTGTATGCACGGTACGACGGCGTTATGCCCATGGAGTCGGAGAAAGTCGAGTCAGTTGAGAACTTCCTATAAACAGCAAGCTTGCCGCTTTACTTGCGCGGTAAGCCACTCTCTCGGGCCATACGAGCAGAGAGGCTCTACGGCCCCGAAGCGTGTCTCTCTCTCGCTTTCTCCATCTCTCGCGCGTGCGGCCGTCATGCTGGAGATGAAAAGCCAATAAAGTCGTGCTATAGCAGCAGCCATATACATAGTTGGCGAGTTCAGAAGAGTCGTCACACCGCGACTTTTGCGGGTCGCGTCGCGAATGGAATACGAGATGTGGCGGATTGAGAAGTCTACCAGTGAGTGCGACAAACATTTTGTGTGTGTCCTGGTTCCACTACGATCTCCCATGATGCCGTATTATCTATCAGCTTCTCATGTGTGTGTGGATTATGACGATGATTTGAATGACTAGGTATGGGTCCGAATCTGGAGCGGAGGCTTTGCGCAACCAGGAAATTCCTTGTGTGCACTCTCTCTCTGCGAGGGCCGGGGATCGAGTCAGGCAAGAGTCGGAGCCTTTTCCCGCTCTCGTGTCTGCGAACCAACAACATCGTGGGGAGGGAAGGGGAGGGAGGGGAGGGAGACGGGGAGAGCTGTTAGGTGCTAGCCACACAGAGACTATTATACGTTGTACTATGATGAACAGTCCCTGGCATTCGAGATGCGCCGGCTAAAGGCGCAGTGCAGAAGAGCCCGCACTGTACATGCTGCGCTGCCCATAAGGCCCAGTCTACTTTGTCGATAATTGTGTCGATAGTAAGCAGGTCGATAGTTTCCGGTCACTATCGCTCACTCTATTGACACCTGTCTACTCAGCTATCGACCAAAAATGGACGATAGTTACCTGTCGATAGTAAAAAGCTCGTATACCCTCGTAAACCGTCGCCGTCGCTGCCTACGCACCATATCCGGTTAGTAAACGCTCGGACATAGTCCACTATCTCAAATGGTCCTCCCAGAGGCACATTTTGCGCTCCGTGCACATTCAATTAGGTTCCGGGGCGGCGGCACTATCTATATACGCGTCGTAGTCGTGTATACTGTATATGTCGACACCGGTTGACTATGTAGTAGTACTATACCAGCGACCAACAACCTCCTCTTTTTTGGCTATGGATACTACGAATATCGCTGTATTATTCGGCGTTGTCGCTGCCGCCGTACTCGTCGCTATTACACCAATCGTCACAACCCCTATCGCAGAGCGCTGGTATCGGCCACCTGGCGTAATTACGACTCAAATCGAGCCTGGGAGAGGCAGGAAAGAGACGTACAAGTGCTTATATGGTCCAGAGCGATACTGTCACCATGTAACGCGTCTAAAACAGCCGGTGTTAATATCGTTAATCGAGGAATTGACCGAGCGTGGTGGCCTCGACGACTATGGAAAAGCGAGGGTTTCGGTTGCTGAGCAAGTGGTTATATTCTGCGATTTCGTCGCACACAACCGTAGTAT